TTCGGTTTTCAGATCTCATGATTCGGTGATGGTTTAGAAAAAAAGTAATTCGCTATTCGCGGTTCGATTAACAGATTGAGCCCTGAAAAAACTGATCCACTCAGCTAACCGAACAGATATGATCCGTTACCTTAATTATATACACACACACACACACACACAATAGACTTAGTGTATTTCTATTTTTTTTATTCATTATTTAAGATTTTTTACTTTTGGATTATTTACAACTCTATTTTATTAGTAGGTAATTTAAGTTTGTGGTGATATATGTTAAAAATTTATTTACAGTTTTTAATTACTAATTTGAGATTTTAATGAGCCATAAAGTGTAATCATATTGGACTGTTTGAAAAGCCCGATCCGTAGAAACCGAACCGATCTGATTCGTTATTTCACAGTTCGATTTGGTTCAGATTGAAGGTCCCTACCAATCGGTTCGGTTTCAAATTTCATCAATCTGTGGAGACCGAATTAGATTGAACTTTATCCCCAAATCTAATCGATCTGATCCGTGATCAGCCCTAGGTACCTCACATCCCCTTTTCTTTCAAACAAAATGGCAAAAAGGCCCATCAACTCATTAATTTGTCATCTCTCATTTTTATAATATCATAACAACCATTTTCACTATAAACTTTATTTTTTTTATAAAATTTACTTTTTCTACTACAAATATTTATTTATATATTTATTGTCATGGCAAAAAGATAAATTATTCAACATAAATAATATGCATAAGAAATAAAATAAATTGTTACAAAAATTAGAAGGGGTTCACGAAGCAACCAAATATGTACTTTTCAAAGCTTCTCGACTTTACCTGACAAACGCGTGACGGAAGAGAAAATGACCAAAGTAAGTCAGAACAAGAATACAATGATACTATTGAGTATTCGAAGTTCTCTTACTCAAGGAATGAGTAGGCTCTATGTTATCATCAATGTAAATTTTCAAATTCAAAAGCATTTCAAATTAATTCTTAAGAGAGACATGTCTTTTCTTCTTCTGTGATTGATATACATCTTGTCATTTTATTCTTCCACGACAATGGCAAATACTCGTTTAGAATTAATAATTAAGGAATCTTAACGAATAATGAATGCGGAATCCCCCATCATAGTTCATCAAAAATTTGGATTAATTGATCATCAAACTAGTACTTTCCACAATATATATTATTCTCACAGGGACAAATAACAATCCATTTAGGAATGAACATTTGATGTCCGAGAGGCTAGGAACAATCGAACCTTTAGAGGTACAACTTCCTCTGCAAATTCAGTTCGAAATTCCATCTTCTTTTCTATCATAGATAATCAGGTGAATCATGGCTAGGTTTTTCCATCCTCTGAGTTTGACACAAAAGATTATACCAGGCAAGTGATGATCATCTAATACTTTTTAAATTTTGTTTGTCCATTGGCAACGGGTAGTCAATTTAAATTGGCATTACCTATCCCGAGCAGATATTTAGTGCGTTCGGTGCATCGTGTATCGGCTAATCTGAACTACGCGGTTCAGATTAGTCAGTGCGCCGAGCACACTAAATATTCACTTAGTTAATGGTCGCTAACTCAAACCTCATTGTAAATTTATTATGTAACACAAGCCGCAACATGTTTTATGATATATCGAATATCTTTACTGAAATGTCTTTAATATTGAAGTTCACCTTATTGATATTAAAATAAAGTTGTTTATGCCTTGAGTAAGAGAGCTCTAAATATCGTATTATTTTATCCTTGATTTGGTGTAAGGGGCAATGCCATGTTTTTCAAGCTTTTAAGGCGTTGTTTGAAACAAAATTCGGACAAGGTTTGTCATTGTTAAAAAAACACTCAACTTGTATATAGATGTCATTGTTTCAAACCTCAGGGATGTCATTGTAATTTACTATATAAGTTTAATGTAAGGTTAAATTGATAATATTATAAAAAATAGTACTTTAATTTTCGAATGTGACATTTATTTTGGAACAATGAAAAATGTAAAGGTGGATATTTAATTTGGAACTGAAGTAGTATTATTATTTTTTTTGTATTGAAAAAAAGTAAAATAAAATAATGAATAAATAAATAAATAAATAATTATGACCTTACCAAAAATATATAAATTTCCAGTAGAAAGTTCGAAAAACAAATTGAATAAATCAAACAACAATTTTCAAAAGTCAAAAGGGAAGGTTAGGAACTTAGGAACAAGAATTCGATTTTTACTACTGTAAATTAGAAAATTAGAAATTCAAGGTGTGACAACTTTCTTGTACAATTCACTGAAGAAAAAAAAAAGAAGAAAAAAACAAACTTTCATGCTTAAATGAGGTGAGAACACCCAAATTTAAGTTAATTGTCATGCATGAAACACAATGGATTCATTTGATTTTGATAAAACGCGGCCTCAGAAAATGACATGGTCGAACCAAGATACGGACACGATGCACCATGATTCATGGCATTGTCTCAGTGATTGAGAACTGATTGACTAATCGTTGTCGTGCTGTCTTTTGGAGCCTTGCTGTCAATTGTGATTACCACAAACATCTTCTCTATAAACATGATTAAATATTAAATTAGTTGATCCCCATCACTTAACACAATCCGACAAGTAAGCAATCAGCAATTCTAACGCCACCCGGTTATTTTCCTTGGAAGCTTGTTAAAAAAGTTGAAATTCACCATGCACCACAAAATGTTCATAACACCAGAGATAACCACGAACTCATGTACATTCAAATTACAGAATGATAGTTTGAAATTCTAAGAATAAATATCCAATTATTATAATTACTAATATATACTACGTGTGTGTCCGTGGTAAGATGACAACAAAATTCAAATAGTAATTATTATTATATATATATATATTATAATAACAATAAATATTTAATTGTTAAATTAGATGCTCTGATCTCAACGTTCAAGAAAAGAACAGAAAATTAAAAAAAAAAAAAAATTATCAACGGTGGGTGCACGTGGCATGATCTGAGCCGGTTTGAACCCATATGATGTGGCGGATTATGGGCCTCAATTTAAAAAGTTATACGGGTACACGTGTGACAATGGGTTAGAAAACAAAAGAGCTGTTGGCAAAAACAAATTGGCCCACAACCCATCATTATATGCATAAAATCAGGATGGTGTTCAAGATTACTGTTATCCTCTATTTTGGATTTTGATTTCTGTCATGAAAGGAACCTTCTTGATATAAATATACAGCTAGCCAGAAGAATTACAATACTCTCTCAAGCCTTCTTAATCACAAACATGTAACTTTTATTAATATATATATATATATATATATATATAAAGGAAAATAATTTTTAAACCGTGAATTGCTAAATTTATTATTTTAATAGGTTAATTTTGCAATAAATAAGGAAGTGAAATTCTCTACTTAGTTATATTTGGTATATGCAACAAAAAAGGAAATTGAACCATCCACTTATTTGTATTTAATATAAATAATTAATTAAAAATTATTTGGTTATGTTACATTTTACACCGGCATAAAAGTTGAACTTAGTACCGTTTAAATGAGTTCTTTTATTGGTAGAGTTTAGGTGTTTAGTAATGCAATACATATAAAGTAGAGTACTTTTTAATATGTTTGGTAATAAAATTTACTTTAGACACTTCTATTACTAATTTTACAATAATATTTTTTAACATCATATTATTATAATTAACAATTACACGAGTTTATAAAAAAGAAAGAAAGAATTGTCTTTATAAAAAATATATAAAGGATAAAATTGTCTAAAAAAAAATAATTCAATTACCTAAAATATGAATTTTCTATTCAAAAGTCAATTTTAAAAATTACAAATTTTATTTTCATTCAAAATCTTTAATTATTAAAAACATTTTAATATTTATCAAATATATTTAAACACATTTTTAAAAATAAAAATGCTTCTGAGTGGTTGAAATGCGAATACCAAATATGCTTTTAGTCTACCTTTCATATATGTGTGTGGTGGGTGTGTTTATGTGTATATAGATGCATTCTATGGTTGATCTTATAATGTATGATCAAGCATGAATTATTGAATTGATATATAATTCTAAAAGATGATGTTAGACATGAATTTAGATGAAAGGCATATGAATGATGGAAGTTCCATAACTTAGGAAGTGACACGTGGAATCAATCATTTGTTAAAAAAACAGGTGTATCATCTGGATGATTAGGTGGCACAATGGATTACTATAAAATTGGTGCTACAAAAAGGAAAATACTTAGTACTAAGTAGCTACGGAATGTATATGGAAAAAGAAAAAGGAAAAAAAAGGAAGGTGGTTGAGGAAATGCGCCACGTTTTCCCCAACTTTTCGTGTTATGGTGATTTTAGCCAAATTTCTCCAAAAAAAAAATGAATACTTGCACCATGAAGTGACATCACTTCATGAATTGAATTAAGATATGTCAAACTCTAAATTCAAAAGCTAAGGTCAGAGAACTCTAATTAATCTAACAATTACTAAATGTGCCACATTGATCATTTTTATTGTTTTTCAGTGATCATGATTCTTGAATAACATTTTTTTTTTAAGGTCTAATCACTAAATTATAGTTAAAAAATAAGACCAAGAATGAATTAGGCTGTATTTTGTTTATGAGACATTGAGACCAATCCAATAATCTAAATTACAGATTAATCATTTTTGTTAGCGAGTACAAGACATGTGTTAAGTTTGAGAAATGAGACTTGTGTTAAAAATGATCTAATCTCATTATTAAAACATCACATAGGGTTTGGTAATGTCAATTATTTTTTTTCCTTTTTTTGAAAAAAATAAAATAAAATAAAATTAATGTGTTCAGCTGAACCTGAAGGGTTCAAATGTTAAGGACCAAATTGGTAAAAGGCTGAAATTGGCAAGGGGCTATTTGTAATTGCACAATCTCAATTATTAGCCACCTGGATCTAGCTAGATTCAAAGACTGACCCAGTAATCCTTTTCCATTTGGAACCCCTATAAATTCCCTCCTCACTTGGAACTTCCACCAACTACTTTTTAAAATCAAAGTCGTCCTCCTCTCTACAAAACTGAAAACAACCACCCTCCTCCTCACCAAAGCCACCTCTCAACTTCCTTCCCCTTCCTCCCTCAACTTCCTTCCCCTTCCTCTCAAAATGGCAACACCTTATTTAGCAGAGAATCCAATCAAATCCAACAAATTCAAAGACTATCCACAAAAGGCGAATGGGATATCCAGATCATTTCTTCTATCCATTTTCATCTATATTTCCATATTCTATTTCTTCAATCTCTCTCCTTCCACCCTATTCAACACCACCAAATTCTGGTTCTTCATTTCCAACACTCTCATTCTCATCATCGCCGCGGATTCCGGTGCCTTCTCTTCATCCAAAAATCAAGGCCTCTACGAGGAGTATGTGAAGCACAGTCACAGTCGAGTAAGCAGCTCTTCTTCATTCGAATCCCAGTACCCTGAAATCGTCGAGAAAAGCAATATTATTCCACAAAAGGAGCTAATTGCAATTGAAAATTCACAAGAGAAGAAAGAGATCATTGCTGTTCACGAGAGAGAATCCCCGGAAAAAAATGGCGAATTATTGGAAAACTCAAATTCAGAAATGGCACCAAAAATCGACAATGAAGCTCGTGAAAAGAAGAAGAATGAAACAAGGTTTGTTCGAAGTGTGTCTGATAAAGCTATTCCTGTCAAAGAAAATGATAATCACATTGTTCTTCGAAGGTCGGAAACTGAAAAGCGCGAACCAAATGAGAAATCAGAAGATGAATTTTCAGAAATGTCAGATGAAGAACTTAATAAAAGAGTTGAGGAGTTTATTCAAAGATTTAACAGACAGATCCGACTTCAAGCAGCAGAAAGAAAATTCCACCAAATTTAAAAAATCCACAAAATTAAGAAAATGAGGAGATATTTGATGTCTCCTTTCTTATGTTTTTGTTTTAGTTAAATCTTGTCTTCTACTTTGTATATATTTTAGTAGTTGAGTGTAAATGTTTTATACTTTTGTCAGGCAAGTTTTTTTTTATCTCTCTCTCTCTCTCTCTCTCTCTCGCTCTTTCAATCTAATGATAAATTAATGAACCTTGTTTTCATCCACAGCATGTTATTGATGAAAAACACAATAAGATACACAACCTCGTTTTTAGTTTTCTCGTATGCTGAAAGTTGTGGCACATCACAATTTTAAACCATGTAAATGCGCATTAAATGATTAATAAGGAAATGGTAACATCTTGATTACTGTTGCTGATATTATTATGATGATGATGAACACAATAATCAACCATGTTGGACTAAGTCTAAGGTTTCAAAGTATTTATTTATTATTATTATTTTTTTAAATAGGCAATAAACATACACACCACTTATACATCAACTTTCGTTAAATTTAAAAAAAAATTGGGTGAGTCCGATAAACCATGCACTACATTAGCGAGTCGAATTATAGGATCCAACTTTTCTAAACAATCCGAGATGTTATAAGACAACTGTGTAGGTCTCACAACGAATGACAAAATTTTAACATTGTAATTCAACTCGGCAATTCAGTGAGCTATGATGCCTATCACTGTTTATTGAAAAAAGAGTAACAGGAATACAATGGCAAAAAAATACCGTAATACCATTACTTGCTAGTAATATATATGATGTCTATTAATTACCCAAAAAAATATCTATGATGTATGTTGAGTAAAAACAAGGAAAAAATTAACAAATATTAACTTATGTATTTTAAAATGAGCTTCCATCCTCACCCTTAGGAGTTCAAGTTTTAATCATGATACATGACCGAACATAACTTTGATATGGGTGCAGGCGCGGATCTAATTTTATTTATTTATTTTAGTATAGCTACTTATTTTTTTTATATGTTTAACAATTTTAAATTGTAACTACAGAAAAACATCATTATTGTCCCAATATCATTTTTAATCTTTCTGTTTTTAAAAGAGTCCCCTCACATAATTTTTTTTTGGGTCCATCCATGTTTTGGGGAGATGTTTCCAATTTTTTTTTCTTTTAGCTTTGAAAAATAATTCGTGTGTGTAATATATAGCATGAAAGAGCTAAATTAATTGTGGTTTGGAGAAATTTCGTGTACGAAAAAATCCAGTAAATGGGTACCTGCCACGTAGTTGAAATAGTTTTAGGTAAATGATTGGGCCATCATTCTCCGCCGCAAAAAACAATATCCAATTGCCCTATCGCAAAGATATCGAACACGTGGACGGTCGATCCTAGATTTTCTGTCACCGCCCCTAGGCACTAGCCATATCAATCTGTCCGCGCACCTTCTCGAACACGTGGAGTATCAGAGTAGTTGCCAAAAGAAGAAGAAAAAAAAAAAAAATAGATTCCATTGAAAATAAAGAAAGTACTTTTGTTTTTTTTTTGTTTTTTTGTTTTATGGGAGGAAGACTTGAACATAACACTGGCTGAGCAGTCAACCATTAGGTTACTATGTAATGTCTAAAATAAAGCATTTTACTTGGAATGATTTATACAAACATGATAATTTGTATTTTAAGTTTTAGTTTTTAGGATAGGTTATGTGGATGGTCCATTGATATAACTTCTTGTTTCATAATGAATAATTTATAAAATATGTGTGTGAATATTTATTTAATTAAATATATATGTAGTTGATACGGAAACAAGGAATGCTAAATTTGTATAAAAACTGACAACTTTATCTTTTGAAATAAGATTCAATGACTAGTTTTTTTTTGAAAAATATGCTTTCATATATATGGTTTTGTTTTCCTCCCTGATGAGATGAAGTAACCTATAACACTAGTGTTTTTCATCATTGAGTACTTAAAAATGATAGCATGTTTTATTTATAATGCCAAGACTTGTTTTGTGTGATGAGTAGATTTGCCTCACAAAGGAAAGACCGGGACAACCAAAGGAATTCCACTTTATTTTTATTTTTTATTTTTCCCCGGGATTCCATATTCCTAAAGCCAAGCAAAAGAAATTACTAAAGAGAGGTGATGAATTTAGGGGACCAAAACAAAAAAAAAATAAAAAAAGAGGGTGAGAACATTTGTCTACAGTTAATTTCAACATCACTTCGCATTCTTAAGCGCGAAGAAAGCAGTTGGACATGGTCATACCCATTATAACTTGGCACTTGGCACGCATAGGGCGGTCATGAAAGAGACCTTGGCAATTTGATTATTATTAGCAACAATAAGTCTCTTGAAGACACACTTGTGACTCATATAAGATATTTATTGGATAATTGCTATCCAAATGGATAGTTTAGAAGTCATTCTCTGATTATTTTTTGGTTTAACAAAATTTGTTTACAACCTATCAATTACCGCAGATAAACCAATGAATATTAATTAGTTCATATTGTATGATTCAGTACTCCAAGCCGTGTGGAATGAATAAATAAATAAATAGTTTGAATTGTTTTCATATTATAAATTGTCCTTTTAATTAAAATCCACTTTTCTTTGTCAAAAGTCACTCGTCACAAAACTCTCTTCTTTAGAGTATATAGGATCGTTATTTTGTAGCAAGCCGAAGCCTTGTTTGACAGAGAAGGTAGGTCGTGTGGAGCTGGACACATAACAGGCTTCACACAACAAATTAAAATTAAAACAAATTAAAATATAAAAATAACTAGCCTAACTAGCATCATAACCGGCTGACTGAACTAAGATGTAACAAGGTCATTTGTCCCACATCAGATTCGGATAAAAAAATAATTGGATATAAATAAGTGAATATGTTGCACTACCTAATAATTTAAACTTTTAAATAAATGAACAAGCGCCCTAACAACTTTAAACGAAGAGCCACGTCTCCCATTATATTGATATGTCTCGCTTTATTCCTTTATGATTCTCAATGCTTTACATTGAGGTAGGAAAGATACTTTTAGTTCCACATAACTCTTGCATGGACCGACCATAGGAAAGGTACTTTGAATATATGAAAATCAATGTCTTGTGGCCAAACAAGTGATAGGACACACATGAAAATTACGACTGTGATTTAATCAATTAGGGAAAGAGTAAGACACGTTGGCATTCCGGGTCAAATGATATTGCACTTTTACTCATACTTTCCATTTGTCAACTTATAATCTGATGGAAAAAACCTTGAGCCTTCAAATGGGGATGAGATGCAACAAACCATCTAAGAAATGGTCACATCTACTTTCAAACTTGGTACATAAAGATACCTGCTTTTTGGAAAGTAATACATAGATACTTGCTTTCACACGTTAACAAGGAGTTTTCTCCAAATTAATGCTCATTGATCTGATATGGTACTAATACTGATGGCATGTGACCTTTAGCAATTTAAAATATATAAAACTTAAAAATTTTGACAGATATTTTAATTTTATATACTCCCTATGTTAAAAAAATAAAAATAAAAATGTTCCTTTTCAAGGAATCCTGACTTGATTGTCCAAAATTAAACAACATCATTAGAGTTTACCATAGGTCATATAAACAACGATTTTTCTTTTAATATGTAAAATATTGTTTGATAATTCAATTCACTATATATTTTTAATTCCAAATATATTAATGTTGTATTTAGGAATACTGTAACTTCACATATCATATAAGTTAAAATTTGAAAAAAAAAAAATCTAACTTTTAACTCTCACTTACAATCTTACAAGCACTTCTAAAATTTTCAGTTTTATGAAACAGTGCCTAAGAAATAAGCACTGTTAGGAGTTAGACAATAGGACTCAAACCTCAACCACCCATCTGGGTGGAATTAAAAAAAAGCAAGATAGTTAACAAATGAAATTTGAACTTAAAAAAATTAAAAATTATTGAGAAGAATTAATTTTCCCCTAACAGCAGTCAATTATTGCTGGCGTTTGGAATAGAACTCACCTTCTTCCTCATTCTAATGATAGCTCCTTATTCGATATTCAGTTTATACGCTCTGCAAAGTAGTTTCAGAACAATAATCACATACAAGCTCACACTATAAACTTGTAAGTTGTAACACAAAAATATATATATATATATATATATATATATATATAGTTATGGACAATACTTAAATCCTTATTATTGTTGATTAGTTACGAGAGAAAGACACATACATGCGCATAGTTTTATAGGGGGAGACTAGATAGAACATAAGCAGCACAGCTGCACAAGCCCTAGGTGGGTAAATCAGCCTGGCCCACCATGTGTGACATATATGTCATATACTTTTCTCCATGTCCGGCCCAATCATGTCAGGACCAAGCCGGCCTGAAAAACAAGGCCTAGACCTGCCCATGCAAATATAATTAGACCAGACAATTAATCCTCTCCTTTATTATTTTAGGCCTAACAAAGTTAGCCATGGGACTAGCCCAAACTCAACTTTAGGCTTAACAAAGTGAGCCATGAAACATATGTTACACTCCAGCTGAGTCTAGAGCACCTATGAACTCATAGGTTTAAGGTAGGGCTGCAACTTGAGCGGGCCCAACCCAAAATAACCCGAGTTCAGTCCGAAATTTTGTGGGCTTGGGCAATATTTTTCTAATTTCGGTTTAGAACTGAGCTATATATTTTGAGCCCGAATTCAATTTGGGCTGGGCTTAGGTTGATATGGATGAAACCCAAAGCAAACAAATGGATCTTCTGTGTGGTAGAATTATTAGCTAATAAATTATTGTTAGTGAAGAGAATGATTTAACAAATCAAATACAGATTAGCTTTTGCTTTGACAATAAGAATACCTTAAATTAGGGTTGCAACTGGGTAGATTGGGTAGGTTTGGCACTCATCTCGGGCTAAGCCCATATAAAAAATCTTCAGCCCGAGCCTAGTCTGCCTTAAGCCTGAGCCGAGCTGCCCAAGCCCAGCCCATGTCATTTTTTATTTTTTCGAGTTTCATCCACTTTCCAAATTTACCAAAAAGTTCAACAAAATTTCTGCCATCAAAATATTTAAATTGGCTTTTAGTGTTTTCTCTTCAATTTTGAATATATATTTTTTCTTGAATTGGCCACTTATTCAACCTCGGCAGCTCAATATTTTTTCCCTCTATTGGCCACATTTATGATTTATCTAGTTATTATATGCACTCATTTCTTTGCTCTTATATTTAAATTGAGTCATAATATTGAAGTGTCAAACTGAATTGTTTCACCTTTTACTTTTGATTGTCACTTCTTTATATTTTTGCATATATGCTCAATCAAAAGTTTTGGATTTAGAAAATTACCAGCTGCTTAAAATTATTTTTCATTTTTTTTTTCCTAAAATAGTTTTTCATTTAAATTAACAAGAATTTTGTAAAGGGAAGAAAAAAAAATCTCGGTCACACAAATACAAAAGAAATTCAAGCATTAATAGGAAACTATCACGTTTTTCTATATATATATATATATATATATATATATATATATATTTTCAAGGCAAGAATGTTAAGAGTTAAGAGTTAGTTCTTAGAGGTTCAACCACGAGCTTTTACACACTTGCATGATTGCATCACGTTTTTGCTTACAAATATACAACCTTTTAATATAACATTTCACGCATGTACACTACTAACCAGTGATAGAGTATGTATTGTTTTGGGGCTCTTAGCATGCGCAAAGTCAAAAATAAAATAAAATTATATATATATATATATATATAACCTTTCACAACAAAGATAAATGAAACATTTTCTCATACCTGACATTCTAAGGACAAAATCCATACAACTCAACGTTAAAAGAAATTTTGAATAAAAAAAAATATAAAAAAAAAAATGAAAAAAGTTTAAAAGAAAACATTGTTATTGCATAAAGGATGCAATGCTGTTGCATAACAATATAACATAAGTAATGAGAATGAAAAATAAATAAATAAAAAAATAAAAATAATTTACCTCAACAGCTCAATATTTTTTCCCCGTATTGGCCACATTCATGATTCATCTAGTTATTACGTGCACTCATTTATTTGCTCTTATATTTAAATTGAGTCATAATATTGAAGTGTCAAACTGAATTGTTTTACCTTTAACTTTTGATTGCCACTTTGTTATATTTTTGCATATATGCTCAATCAAAAGTTTTGAATTTAGCAAATTACTAGCGGCTTAAAAATTATTTTCATTTTTTTTCTTCCTAAAATAGATTTTCATTTAAATTAACAACAATTTGTAAAGGGAAGGAAAAAAAATCTTGGTCACACAAATACATATTCGAGCATTAATAGGAAGTTATCAGGTTTCTATTCGTGACACTTGCATCACATTTTTGCTTACAAATATACAACCTTTCATCGTTTCACCCAGGTATAGTACTAGCCCAGTAATAGAGTTTGTATTGTTTTTGAGCTTTTAACCTGTGCCAAGTCAAAAAATAAATTATATATATATATATATAACCTTTCACAACAAAGATAAATAAAATATTTTCTCATACCTGACATTCTAAGGACAAAATCTATACAACTCAACGTTAAAAGAAAATTTGAAAAAAAAAAAAAAAAAAGGTTAAAAGAAAACACTGTTATTGCATAAAGGATGCAATGCTGTTGCATAACAATACAACATCAGTAATGAGAATGATTATAAAAAAAAAAAAAATGGTTTACCAGTTTTTACAAGATTTTTTTTTTTCTTTTTAAAAAGGTATTTTTATTATTATTACTTAATTATTTTTTAGTGGCGTCTGAAAACCGATGTAATGAAAGGTCTTAAAAATAGGAAGTCCAAGAACATCCAATAACCTTGAGCCACGTATCTACATGCCAAACTTTATCCACAATAATTCATAAAAAATAAAAACAATTTTAAAACACTTTTGAAAGATTGGAAAGTCATGGTGATGGTGTGGAGTTGTCTGCAACCCATCCCAACTCTAATTCCACCCAAATCTCATTCATCATCTAGTAAGAGTTTTGTCATTTCACGACGAAAAAGTATAGTCTTTACTGCCTCTGTTTTCACATGGTTTCTCCAATCTCTACCAAATTCAACACTTTCTTCATTTCATTCTGCGATTGCCCAGCCACAACAAGATGAATTTGACAAAGATGAAGATCGCATCGTTAACCTCTTCCAGGTCTCTCTCTTCTCTTTCAATATATATATATATGTGTGTGTGTGTGTGTATGCATGCCACGAACACACACTACTTTACTATTTACTATTCTAATTTTCTTCTTATTCTTCTCAACCCAAGTAGTGTTCATTTCACTCTGTAATAAAACAATAAAGGTGGGTATTTAGTGGGTTAAGGGGAAAGTGTTGTTGGATCATTATTTATTTTTCTTTTCTTTTTCAATTATGGCTCATTTTAGCTTCTAATCTGTGATTGGAAGAAATTGATAAAAACAGGTACATTGTTTTTTTGGGGCTAAATTTATGTTATTGGCACATATTTTAATATACTTTTTGAATAAACATAGCTTAGCTTAATCATTCGTTTTACATTTTGTTCCTAGAGTCAGTTTATGCACTCCATATCTTGTATAAATAATGAGGCAATTTTGTTTTAGAGGTGTTTAATAATTTTATCAAGTGCTGAAAACTGAAAATTTCAGTGATTCATTCATTAAGGAGATATGGTAATGCACACGTATCTCCTGTTTAAGAATATAAAATCCACTTAATGGGTTTCTAATTCTAAAGTTAGATAGACATAACATCTCATTGAGTACAAAAAATACTCATTGAAAGTAGTTCAAAATTTTTTAATTTGAATTGCCTAAATTTTTCCAAACTAAAAATTAAGCTGCTTTAACTTTTTGGCACAACTCTAAATTTAGTAATAAAATTTTCAGTTATAAAAAAGGGAATTGTTTGGCATTTGGATAACTTTTATTTTGGAAGTGATCTGGGTAAACACTCTGAATAGTTTGGATGAGATATAAGATGAAATTTCTAGTAATTAAAGCAATGCATGTTTATAATCACATAAAAAAAACAGGTATTACCGTTAGAAATATTATCATAACTCATGTATTACAGAAGACTAATTCTTTTATGCATCAAGCTAGGGGATATAGTTGAGTTTCGTTCATTACTTTTAAGAAGAAAAAAAAGGGACTGAATTTGGGGATGATTTGAGGATTTTGTTTACAATAATAATTGGTTTATCATTTTGTATCGAGGAGCAGCTTTAAGAAAGAATCAATTCCACCTAAAATTTTATTTTACATTTTGTAATTAATTTAATTTAAGCCTACATTTACTTTGGAGTAAAAGGAAATCAGGAAAACAAATATGCTTTCTCTGATAGATGAGGTAGCTAATAAGTAACTGAAAAACTTTGCACAACGCATGCTGGATGAAGTTGGCTATGTCTAGAGTATTTTCTCAATATTGGCTTCTTAAGAACATAAATTGGTAGCAATATTTAAGAATGTCAAAGAAAAATGGAAAAATTGTTTCAACAAAATACCTTTAGTATTGTACTATGAGAACGGCAACATTATGGAGGTTTCTGGTTCTATTTTCACTTTATCAGGATCAGTTTTCTAAACGCCAAAAGAAAAATAAGTTTGTACTTTATTTTTCACTTTCTCACAAAGCAAAAGTGAGTTGTTAAGAGTTGCTTTCCAAATTATTTAGGAGGAAGCAATTTAGAAAATTTTCTTATCTGGAAGAAGTGTGTTCATACCTCTAACTTTATCTTAATTACTCATTCGTGAAGTTAAACTTTGTCATGCTTATGAGCCACTGAGATTATTTTAGGGTCAGAGAAGTTTCTTCCTTGGGATACCGAACTATTATGGCCTACATGCATCCGATTCCGATCTGGTCTTCTTTTTTGGCTCTTCGTAATAGAATTACTATTGTCTAAGAATACTTGTTAATTAAATGATAAAGTGTTGAACTTTTCTTCTTGGAAGAGCTCTTGTAGCTCAGTTGGTTAGAGCACCCGTTTAGTAAGCGGGAGGTCTTGAGTTCAACTCTCAACAAGAGCATCTTTTTGCCTACCAGAGATATCTGGACAAGTACATCCTGCTAAAAACTTTCACGTGATGATATTACGAAGTCTGTGATCCTATCATCTTGCTTCACTCTTCTTATCTATCATAGGGTTAAATATTCAAAGTTCCTTTTTTTCTACAAACACTTATTTATATATTCATTTTCTCTTGTTTTTTGTTGAGGGAAGGGGAGGGCAAGGGTAACAATGCTAGTGAATGTGATACATCTTCTTTCTTTGCCATGGATGGATATGCTTGCAGTTTTATGCTAAGTACTAACAGATCTTTCCAAATTGACTGTAGGAAACTTCACCATCTGTTGTCTTCATTAAAGACCTTGAATTATTAAAAAGCCCCAAAAGCTCAAACGAGGTTACCGTGACTGGAGATGAAAATGCAAAAGTTGAAGGGACAGGTTCCGGTTTCATTTGGGATAAATTTGGTCACATTGTAGGCATTTCCTTTTTGAAATACATGCTCAAATTCCTCAAGCATTGTTATATACAGACACTTATCTTGCTTAGTTTTTCTTTCTGTAGTGCTTTGATCTCTAAAATTAGCAGTGATGATTCACTTCATTCTTTCCTGAGTTCAAGACTGAATCTCCCTAACATGCATGATTTGTTCATATCCATCTTTTCAGGTCAAGAAATTTGTGCAATACTTTGGGTTGTGAAACATAAAATTGTTTATAAGAGATTTGAAATTATAAGTTTATTTATATGTACCTTTTAAATAAATAAATAAAAATTTTATTTATGTGCAAATGTTTCCTTGACTATATGTTTAAATCATCAAAAATCTTCATAAGTATGTATTTGGTTTAGCTTTTATCTATAGATTTTGGTCATTCTTGCAATTGATTACAATTTTTTTTAGTACCATTTGAGCTTTAATGCTTTTTATACATTATATATTCCACAAAATTAAAATGATATTTTTTCTATAATGAGAACTGTTGTTACTTTGGATCATGATTACCCTTTTCTTTCGGTGTCCTTTGTCTTCACTATGTGGTTCTATTTTTACTCTATTTTAATAAATTTACAGGGAATAACTTCTTTGCAAATTCCAAATGTGATATTTTAGCAATTGTTGCCTTTATAAGATACCCATGTCCAAACTTCTATCAAAATTTACTACATTTCCTTTTTTTAAAACAAAAATTTATTTTATGTTTGATCCTTCTAGTAGGTTTGAGGTGTGTACTCTAAAATTTTTAAGTGAAACTTTTTTATGTATGACAGGTCACTAATTATCATGTTGTTGCCAAATTGGCCACAGATAACAGTGGACTACAACGTTGTAAGGTTCTGTTCTTATTTGTTATTTCCATCACTTTCTATTTCCTTCTCCTTCATTCTATTTTATCTGGTCAATGAACTGGATGTTTAGATACCCTTTCAAAAAAAAAGAATGGATCTGTGGATAACTCATGATCATTCTTCATTCAGTATGGCTTGATAAATAGCAATAAAATATTAGGTGCTTTTCTTTTACAGGTGTTTCTAGAGGATGCAGGAGGCAACAGCTTTTGGAGGGAAGCAAAGATTATTGGTTTTGATCCAGCATACGATCTGGCTGTTCTGAAGGTATATAATTGAAACTAGCTCTGAATTTCTTTGTTTTTCATTCTTTATAGATCTAAACAAGGTATGCTTTGCATACTTTCACACAGTTGATTCTAAAAAAAGTTAGATCATTTCTATGCTATTGTAAACTAGTAACTCTGAATTTCTTTATATGTTGAACCAATCACTAATATGAAACAGAACCTTAATGGGTTTTTGAAAGCAGGATCAGTTTCTTTATTTATCACCCATTTAACTAAAATACTAAAATAACATGAGAGAGAGAGGTTGAAAAAAGCAGGACTGGATATGGGGAGGATATGGAAATATATAAATCCATATTTGATGTATATTTTGTATGGGACAAGTATATAATGTTGATTGATTAATTCAAAATTTGACATTAATAATTTCATATATTGGAACCCGAAGCAATATCCAAAAGAAGTCCTTTCGTCTCGTCTGTAACTGTGAATTGACTGAATAAACGGCTGAAATCAAGAAAAAGATCAAAGAAGTCAAAGAACACACCTATCAGTACTTCTTTATTGTGTTTAATTATTTACAACTGTATTACTTTTCTATATTGTCCATTGCATGCTTCACTTATTTTGGCATACATCATCATTTCCTTAATCCCATACGAATGGGGTCTGCCCCATGAATTCTCTTTTCCTGTTTATTTTTAATTTTTATCACAGCCCATTTATCCTATTATATTTGGCTTAATTATATGCTCTGGCATATATACGATATTGAATTCTTTTGGAAATTTTTCTAGACATGTTTGAATTGTGTTTATCATTTTCTAGGAGCATCAAAATAGTGTCATTTTTTACATGCAGTAGAACAAAAACATTTCTTGTAGAAATTGTCCACTCTTCATGGAATCATGGGGCTAGTGTTGTAGACTCTATTACAGGCCATTTTAAAGGGCTTCTCACAAAAATAATGTTTTGGGTTGCAATGTTGTGGTTCCCTTGGATGACCGAGAAAAACATGTTCCGGATGCATATTCCATTTCTAGCAATTTGGTTTTTCTGCACCATGTTTGGATTTGTCTTCTTCAATTACTGACAAATACTCAATTCCTCAAATACAATTGGATTTCATACCAGGCAGACTCTAGCTTCCATCCTATGATTAGCTCTAGATATGTAAGTACCTTTAGTTGTATCTCCTAGATCGTCCTGTGTGTTTCTTTGCCTATTGGGAATTGACTCATATGGCTTTCTTTTAATGTCTTCCCATGGTACTATAAAGTAAGAATAGCAAGGAGAAGAACAGAATGGAATAGATTGGATTGTAGCGTTCTTCCCCTTTTTTATTATTAGTAAGATAGGTTAGAGAAATAAATAATGAATTACAACCCATAGCTCTATTCCTTTTCTTAATGGTAGCTCCTGTCGGTTTAGAGAAAGCTAGATAGAGGAGATCCCTTAACAAATCAAGTGCTCCTATCTCGCTGACTGAGTTTGCTTTCCTGTCCGTCCTCCCCTCCGCTAGTAGGTGGTTATAGATATCGGTCAAAAGAGTAAGGGGGATCTCAAGACTGGAAGGGCCTTCTCCTGAGTGGCCATTGTTTTTGTTTAAAAGTGTGCTTCCCTTGCCAGGTCTTGCATCTCAATACAGTTTAGTGCTTTGGCATCCTTCCCTAGGTACTTAACCTTGGTGATCACTTCATGAAGTACCAAAGCAAAGTTCTTGGTGAATCCCTTTCGATTTCTTCTGTTCTCATTGTACAGAATCCTGTCCAGGGCTTGTAATAGCTGCAAATGAGACTTTCTGAAGCAGTTGTTGCTTTAACACTTGCCAAGCTAATTCTATATTGAAAAAAATAAATACTTGTTGCTTTAATGAGTTCAACTTGATTCAAACAAAAGGAGCACATACAGAACGAAAAAAGCGACTATTCTGCAGAACACTTGCTTATGCATGTAGTGTCATTTCTGTATGACTTCTAATTTGAGCAAAAGCATATCCTTCCTGATCATTCTCCACAGCAGAACATCTGAGCGTCACGAACTCTGAATTTGGTTCTTATCCTTATTATTTTAGTAATCTATGAGCGTTATAGCAACTTTATATCAATCCTGACAAAAAAACCCAGTATTAGTTGCTGTTCTGCACAAACTACCCTAATTTTTGTGTGTAGATGATGATGGACTAATTGGCTTAAAGAGAAGCCTCGCATACACGTGTTGGCATATTTAAGTAGTCTTAAAGAGAAGCCTCACATACCCTTTCTATATTATATGCATCACCTACTGACTCAGACACTGTTTATGGTTTACCGTATAGCCTTTTTTAATTTATTACTTGTACATGTTAGCATCTTACATTATGTTAATTTCTGTATAAATATAGAAATGTATAAAAAAATCCTTGACCTAGAGCTGTTTGCAGGTTGATGTTGAAGGGAATGAATTAAAGCCAGTCATTCTCGGTACGTCCAGTGATTTACGTGTGGGTCAGAGCTGCTTTGCCATTGGAAATCCTTATGGATATGAGGACACTCTAACAATAGGGGTACCTTCTCAATATAATGAGTATATGTTGTACATTGCATTATTAGGCCAAAGCAAGTTGCAGCTCCTTGTGCCCATCACTAAATTTTATAGTAGCAGTTGTAGGTATTTTCTTTTATCAATAGAAAAATATCTCACACACAAAATCATGTATTGGAGTGTTATGATTACTCAAATGAGAAATTAAATTTTTTTTTTCAAGAATAGTTTGTCTTAGGCTTGGTTTTTGATGGGGAATAAACTGCTTAATTCAGTTTCAACAGCACAGCAAACATTACCTGCTTCAATGTGAGATGGTAAATTAACAAGTACTCAGGAGAATGAAACTGGTCTAATGTATAATCTACTATCAGGTAGTCAGTGGATTAGGCAGGGATATACCCTCACCAAATGGAAGAGCCATCCGTGGAGCTATACAAACAGATGCTGCTATTAATGCTGGTAAATTTCAACTTCCTTGCAAATTTATTTTTGCATTTCTGTAGACAGTAGGAAAGACATGATGGAAACGCGAAGAACCTAATGGATCTAAATACCTTCTATTCAATCCATCATTGCATTTTTGTATAGCCTCTGTAGCAATTCTTCAATTTGAGTGATGTGAAGATCACTCTGTTATCAAATGAACAATCCTTTAGCAAACAGCTGCTGAATTAACATATACGTGTTGCACTTCACTAACTTCAATGTAGGAAAATTATTGTTCAAGATCATGCTAGAAATACTATGCTCTGTCATTTGAAGTTCTGTTAGACTAGCATCCTTTAGAAGAAATTCAGAAGCTAAAAGTCTTAGGTTTTGATGCATAGAAATTTCTGCAGGAAATTCAGGCGGCCCCTTGATTGATTCACATGGTCATGTTATTGGGGTTAATACGGCCACTTTCACTCGCAAAGGTAAAGCTTTATTTTCTTTATTCTATTTTTTTAATGTATTTTACGGAATTATAGATTTTCTGCAACTGTGCAAGAGATGAAAACCTGCAATCATTACCATCACGTTTGCCCTAGCCTCAATACTAAATTTCAAACTTTCTGCATGCAATTGGAGAAAAGAAAGAGTCTTGTAGATTTTTTTATCATCTGGTGTTATGGGTACTATATGAGCAGCACATTCATAGTGTTGCTTTTAGATTGAGAGCCACAAGTGTTTGGAGTTTCAAATTTCTTCCAATTTTTTTGCCCAGATATTAATAAGGAAACGGAAACAAGGAAAAACCAAAGGTAGCTAACAGATACATTTTGAAGTTTTAATTGCACTTCATTTCCATTGTGATGCAGGGACAGGAGTATCCTCTGGTGTCAACTTTGCCATTCCAATTGACACTGTTGTGCGGACTATTCCAAACCTTATTGTTTACGGAACACCTTACAGTGAGAGGTATTAGTTACTTCGGTCAGTCAGATTGACCATATGCTTCTGTTGGCACTCATCCTATGATTAAAGGTGATTTTCTCCAATGAATAGAACTGGGGGCAAGGTCAATGTTTTACATGAAGAAGGGTAAGAAATGAAGGAAACATTGATGTTCAACTCTTTTAACTTTTTCTCAAGCTTTCTGATGATCTTGGGTGCATAATAGATAAGATATTAGCGCGATATGCATAATCAAGTCTTGTTTTTGGTACTAAGCATTTGATGTTGTCCATTCTGGACTTTGTATAAATTTAGTGATTGGATGCCAAAATATGGGGATGAATTTGGTTCTAGATACTGTGTAAAAGAGGGGGGAAAAGAAACTAGTTCAGTTGATGCTACTATGTTATGTTTTCTTTTCTTCTTCTACGGATGCCATTATATATATATTTGTTAGGTAAATGAGTTGATCGTGAATGGATTTTTGTGAGGATAGCTCTGCAGCAAAGGAGTCATTGTCATAGTTCGACTCATCTATTTCATGCTAATTTTAACAGTAATAGATTTCCAAATTTTGCAGGCCTTGCTTTAGTTTTCTCTTTAATTTTATTTTTCATTTTATGTGACTATGTCAAAACCTTTTTTTTTTCCCTCTTTCTTCCCCCTAAGAAAAGAACACAAACCTCTTGAGGCTTTCAAAAGAAATCAAGTTTTATGCAGAAATTATGCAAGATTTATAATAATTGGAATATGATATTGTGCTGGAGTGAAGGTAAACATGCTCCATGTGGACTAATATGCAGACTGTATACAGTCACGAGTATTCATCAGTATATTCAAGTATAACCAGAGAACCACTGATGGGTGTTCCTGTGTGTATCAAGATCAGGATTGATCTCCGAACAGGGTTAATGTCCAGAACCAGCTGACTTCTCTGAGAATTCCTGAGATCTTCCGCAAGTACTTGTATTATTGAAGCACCACAACAGAGGATCAACAATCACAAGCTCCTCATGTTAGGATCATTTTATGAGGTAAACAGTGGGCTGTGGTTGATAAACAAGATGCATCCGCTTAAAGTGGCATTGTATGTGTTATTTTTTAGCTAGCATTTGACTGAATGTAAAGCAAAACAAACTCAACAACTCAAATGATATACACAAGAATTGTTTTTAAACAAACTTTTTACAATTGCAATCAAAATCAATAAGATGGGTCTTTTTTCAAACTGTATAACTTGATAAGTAGGATCCAATCTTTTCAGTAACAAACAAAAATATAGATGGATAAGAGTTCTCATCGTCCGACCATAATGTAGACATATCATTTCAACGTACTAAACAGGATAAACAACCACAAGATAAACAATTCCATTGTCACTATTCTGTTTTCTTTCTCAAAAAAGTAGTTTCATTATGCTCAAAAGATTTCAAGCACAATGTTGATGGTAGCTACACTGTTTTTACTCTTCCTGAAGCAATAACACTAACAAGTACGTATATAATTTGAGAACAATAACTGTATAATAGTGAATCAGGGAGGTGTCTTAATTGATTCACTTGGGAACTGATACTGCTGGTAGTCCTGAAGTGACAGCAGTGACAATTGCTCTTCAATGGAGCAATCCACGTGACAAGATGTCCGGCAAGAGCGAGGGATGAGAATGAGACCAAGGCCCCGCTGTTCCATTGGAGAAGGAGAGGAGCGTCGCATGCTACGGTACTCTACTGCATCTTGGAGAATGATGTTCCCTTGCTTATCCATGCAGTAGAACATGCCTAAGAAGAACCGACCATCATTTACCCCCACCAGCATCCGGTGAAACAGCAACTTCCTGACCCGCGCTACAACATTTGAGTTGTTTGTGTCAGACCACTCTGAGCTTCCCACCTCATTTAAGGTTGTCTCTGCTTGTTTTTCGGTGTCCATGTGGTTAAAATTATGACACCCAAGCCAATGAACTAAATATTTAGGATTGCTGTTATTTGCAAACTCAAAAATGCAAACAGAAAATCAACCACCTCTACCCTATCACTGGAAGCACAAACGAAAGCCTTCCTACAGCTGGCAACTACTCTTCTCCTGTAGAAAATTACATAAACAATTCTTCAGCATGTATTCAAGGACAGATATCAAAGAAAGAAAAAGAAAGTACTGCAAAAGTATCGAGAGGTAGCTTTACTTATTATATAACATAGAAAATAAATTCCTACACCAAATTTCCAAACTTCTGGTTTAAAAAAAAAAATCTTATTCATGGTGCTAGGAGGCCAATGCCCACACGTGTATGCTGCGTGTGCGCCTGAGAGAGAGAGAGAGAGAGAGAGAGAGACCGAATTCCATCAAAGATACCTAAATTAATGAGGAGCACTGAAACATATTTTTCTTAAAAATCGTGCACCTACTGTAATAGCATAACCACCATGACCTAAGCAATAGGTATCTGTAACACTGTTACATTGACACAAACAGGGACAAGGAAAAAGATGAGTGGTGCCCCTTGCCGCGTATTAAGAACAAAAAGGTGAAGAAGAGGGTGCACAATTCACGTTCTTTTTTTCATCTTACACTACCAAAACAAGAACCTGGATGTAGTATGCCAAAAGGATTAGTTTAGGGTGCACTGCTTTGATGCCCTCCTTCCAATGGTTTTCACTACTTTTGATTTATACGACGAGATAAAAATGTAAGAGCACAATTTCGGTGATTCCAGAACCAAAGGTGGTACACAAAGTGCCGCTTGCAGAATCCAAGTTATGGCATGTTCACCAGCTACAGACATCATACGTCAACATAATAACATGACAAGACATCAGTCTGACATGCAAAGAACAGGATCCTCACTAAAATTATTGTTCTTCTTAATGATATGAAATCAGTTTAAATAGTTAACTAGCATCAAACCATGTCAAAATAATATCATATGTGCCCAAAATTCAACAAACAGAAGCCCCAGCAAACAAAAAAATACCAGCACCTACCCACAGAATGAAATGCCTACCCTCTTTGACTCATTAGCAGAAAGCATAGTTCAACTATAACACAAAGTCAATGCTGCAGGGACCCCAGTTGAAGCAGTCATTTTGACATGGAGGATCTTAGAGGAAGCCAAGTGTGAAGTTGCTCTTTTTTACCCAACATAGGTTTCATTTAGTAGAAGTTTCATGGTTCGAAATATTAACAAATTTAAATTTAATCCTTAAATAAGTAAATATATATATATATTTTTTGATAAGTACTTTAATAGGTATATTCTCAGCATCAATTAGTGAATACACTGAAAGGTTTATTTGGATTTTGACACGCATGTGGGACTCAAGAAAAATATATCAATTTTCTTTTAAACTTTACTACTGCAGTTCTATTTCCTTTAAATCCTTGTTAATCACACCCTTGGGTATGGGGTGTGACAAATTTAAAAACAGTGGGACTCTCCTTTTAAGGGGATATTATTTTTATACAACAAGAGCATTAAGGTGATGACTTAAATTATCACATTATTGATTAAGAAGATTAACAACAATCAGATTACAACCTGTTAACGCTGCAGAGTTCTTACGCAGAGAAACTAAATAAACCTAACCCTCATGGAGCATCTCAAACTTGGTAAAATCCGGTTAGCCATCAAATGCACTAGACAAGTTGATATCAATTTATTATGTCTACAGCACCAAATATTTCTCAAGGAGCACCTCACAGTTCCACCTCAATTCCATGTCTGTTGTCACAGTATCAAAGTTTTCACCAATTTTTTGTGTCCTAGTTTTCTTGAAGGGATTGACACCTGTCCTACAGAGCACTGAAGATATCAAGTGTTAACTATCTTTCAACTAAGTTAGCATTCGAAGACTCTAATTTGATGCCCTTTTGGACCTATGATGTAGATCCAAATTTCTACACAAGGTAGCATTTGTGGTTCAGCCAGATGAAAGTTACAAGTCTCTTCTTTAGATTCCTTTACCAGGCTAGACAGATGTCAAAAACCGAAGCATCCTAATATTATAGTCCCTTTGATCACTGTTGGCATTTTCAGAATCGACCAAATCATTCTAGGAGAGGGTTTATAAAATTCTTCTTCTCAAATATTACTAAGGAGCTAAAGAGGCAATATAAGTTCTTGTGAAAAGGATGCTCTTATCATGTGAAAAGAATAATTCATATTCCTCTATTTGATGTGGATTCATCCAAATTTCCATTCATCGGAGAGGAAGTTAACTGCTTGCTAGCCCCACCCCGCTATATATATATATATATATATATATATATATATATATATGTTCAGCTAATTATCATCACAAAGCTCAATGATATTGCAATGACAACTTTCAGTCATACCAATGTTAATAGAGCAACAATTAGAAAGAAGAAGACTTTTTGGGATTTCCAAAGTTAACTAAAACAAAATAAATCATTGAAAAAAAAAATCACTAGTTCAGTAGAATGTTTATTTGCTAACAAATATATGTATATATTTATTCATCACCTGATATTTCACCAGATCCGCTAGCGAAAGCATTGAATTAGAACCATAATAAACTGAATTGAGTGGGTGAGAATTGGCTGATGAATTTGATTGAAAGAGGGCAAACGAACGACGAGCTTGACCTTCTTCACTTTGCGATGGTCGTCATCGTCTTTGTCACCGTCAATAAACTCCGGCACTTTATGTCGAGTTTAGGGTTCCGGCGAGTGGATCGACCGCTTGGGTTGATAAAATTAGGTTTTCAAGAGATTAGAACACACTCTTGTTGAATGGGAATGCGTTTTTGGAGGCCGTCGTCCTCTTTTCTTCTCACAATGACATACTAGTACGGCAGATTAGCAGTAGACATTAAGAAGAGCGAAGTGTTTTTGAGGGTAGATAGGGCAAAGGGTGAAAAAATAAAACTAAATATCCCGCTTTTGACAAACGCTTTCAATTAACGCATTGGTTCCATGGTGTAGTGGTTAGCACTCTGGACTTTGAATCCAGCGACCTGGGTTCGACTCCCGGTGGGACCTTTGCCTCTTTAAATATTTTTTAACAATTTTAATTCAACCAATTGTATTTGTAAAAAATAATTATTAAAACAAGCTCAAAAAGTTCCACTTTTTTTATGACGTGTATTCATGTACAATTAATGAAATATTTTATTTTTTTCAACTTCTTTTCACCATTAAAGATAACTTATGTAAATTTAAAACTATGTTATTTTTTTTTTCTCTCAATGTATGTATATGAAAGGAGAAACGCTTCTTGAAAATTTAATCACCGATTAAGATTCAAAATTACCACATCACTCACTCATTCATTAAATGAAAAATTCTATCATTTTTAAAAGACTACTTTACCCCTCAAAATATCATCCCAACCCTTCCACGTTTTCTCGATCAAAATAATCATCCAGTCTTTGTGCTCAAAATGACTCTCTCTCTCTTTCTTTCTCTCTCTCTCTATATATATATATATATATATCAACCACAATCTCATCGTCTCATCAATAAGTATGCAATTCCCCTCCATGATCTACAATCTTTAGTTAATCCGATTGGGTCAAGTGATGAACAAGGAATGCTGTATCATCATCCAACATTCAATTTAACAATTCACTAGAAAAATTAACGGTGACTCATCAAACCAACAAATAAATCATAATTTTTCTTCTCTTTTCTCTCTCCGATTCTGACTCTCTCTCTCTCTCTCCAATTTCGCATCTGTAGGTGCAAAATTTCGCTCAACCAATAATGATTAAGAAAAATAAAACAACTCACTCAATCAATAGTAAAAATAAACAAGCACAATATATGTCGAAGCGTAGAATTGTTTGATCCCTTTATTGGAGGTCTAAGCCTTTATTTATATACAAAAGATTGTAAAATTATGGTAGAACTCGCGTTGCTTGTCCTCCAATTCTTTCTATATAAACATTCTTTACATCCAAGTATATTTTTCCATTGTCTAATTTTCCATACATAGAACCTGCCTTGTACAGAACTTCCTATCTCATAATTTTCCTTCTACGGTAAATCCTTCAACTGGTAGGACTTGTGCATTCTTGAATAACTGGGCTGAACATACTTTGATCCGGCTGGGCTTGAGTAACGGACCAGATGTTAAATATTAACAAGTTGGGCTGATGACCTCTTGATTCGGCCTTGATGGAGGTTGGAAGACAAATAACAATGGTCTTGGGCTAAAAATACCCTCAATTTGGGCTTGAGCATGATGAGCCTTATATGTCCTTGGAATGTAGATATGTGTAGTGATGACGTGTACGCTTCTTATTGGAGGGAGTTTTTTTCCCTCCACACTTTGCCCCAAATTTCATTTTTAATTGAGTGACGGCTCCCATTAAAGAGGGAATTGAAACCGGTTTTTTACTTTACTTCAGAGACGGTTCGAGGACTTTCATTATTACTCCGTCGTACAAGATTCTGCAAGAGTTACATTCGCCCTAGCTGCACTCCTGCGTTCTTCACTACATCGCCTTGTCAGGTTAGTTTTTTTCGCATCTTTCTCTTCAATCTTTCATTATGAGTACTTCATCTACTCCCGAACGCATAGACATTGGGGATTCTGAATCCACACCTTCATCTTCCCCCGTTCGCATTAGGGCTCCCCCTCCTAGGGTTTCTACAGATCGTCTTTCGTTGAATCAATTAAGTACTTCCCCTCTTCCAGCCGAGACATCCACCTCAGGCTTTGATAATGTTCTTACTCATGAAGAGAGGAAAGCAATCATCTTTATTTGCCGCATCAAGTTCTCTATTGCTTCGGTAATGGAAGAATTTGATATTCCTGAGGGAGTAGAAATTGCAGAATATCCCGAGGGTGCCGATTTTACCTCCGGCGAGGGAATTGAAGAGAGTGAGTTGCTTTTTTCGGTAGGGCATCTTAGCACCCTCCGGTTCCCTCTTCACCCCTTCTATCATTTAGTTTCAACAAGTTAGGTCTTGCCCCCCTTCAGGTAAATCCTAATTTCTTTCGCATCCTTTCGGCACTGTTGGTGCGCCGGAAATTAGAGGCTCTGGATTTGACCTTTGCCGACCTTCTGCTTACTTATAATATATCTAAGCATGGGACCGAGCCTGATCGCTTTTTTTTTACCTCTCCCCTTCATCAGAGGATATGCACGAACCTTCCTTCATCCGAGAAGAAGTGGAAAGAAAGGATGGTTAGAGTTAAAGGAAAATGGTTCGTGCCCCAATCAATTACGCTCCCCATCCCGCGCAAATTCGGGAAGTTAGGTATAGAATACTTAACCTCCCTTCATACCAAGTGTTCTGGCTGTTTTCCTTGCCAAGTCTTAATGTTTCGCCGTACTTATGAGTTTCTTGGTGTTTATTTAGCTACATTCCCATCCTCCGCAGCTAGGAACAGACTTTCTTTTCTTGAGGAACGAGTCTGGAGTGACCCTTCGCCTATCGAGGACCTGCTAACTTTTTCAAACCTCAAGGATATTGCCTCCAGTGCTGTTGATGCAGACCTCATGGATCTGTCTCTACCATCCTTCGATAGTTTCCCCATGACTGAGGAGGAGATACGGAGGGCTGAGGCTTTAAAAAAGAAAGCTGAAGATGCCCAACCCTTGGTCGTTATTAGGTCTACTGAGGGTGAGGTGGAAGCTGAGGAACCACCAATGAAGAAATCTTACCTCAACACCCCATCCTCTGGCAAGGGCAAGATCCCTTCTAAAAGTAGAGGGAAAAAGGCTGGAGAGGCCGAACCTGAAGATGAAGTCAGGGTATTTGTTCTGGCTGAAACTGGGGCTCCTTGGACTCCTTCCTTTACCAGGGCTGACAAGTCAGTCCTGCATTCAGGGGATTCTGTGATCACAGACCCTTCAGCTGCACTGGCTGTGGCCCGAGGGATGTGGCTCCCAAAGAACGAGGAAGCCATCAGCCAAATGGGGTTGGAACAACTACTCCCCTCTGCCCCGGTCCGGGCCATAGAGGTTCGTATTGCTCCTTCAGAATTATGTTACTCTTGCTTACTTATGTTTCCATTTATGCTCATATTTGTTCCTCTGTTATACAGAGTCTATACCACACCATGGCCCTCTGCGCCACTGCTGAAGCCCAATCCCTCTCCATCAAGAAGCTGGAGAAGGATTTTGACAATGCAGTGAAGAGAGCCACCACTGCCTCTACCAATCTGAAGATAGCTACTGAAGCGAAGGATGTGTATAAGAGGCAGTTGGCTGCCTCTGAGGCTAAGGTGGATTCTCTTCAGGCCGAAATTCAATGCCTGACCGAGGCTCTTACTACTTGCTTCAAGGCGGGGAAGCAAATGCAGGGGCGCTACTCCTGTTTGGCATACCTGGCTAGTGCTAAAGCGTTCCGGTCTGGCTATAATCAGGGCTCAGGCCCTAGGACGATGGATCCGGACGCTTTTGACAAGCAGGTGGGGGTGCACTTCCCATATGATGAAGGGCCACAGGCTTTGGAAGCTGAAATCCGCTTTGCCGAGATGGTGAAGGCGCACCTGAAGGGTACTCCTAACTCTTCTGCCCCTGCGGCTTCAATTCCTCCTACCCCAAGTCCTACTGTAGTGGATGCTTTTGAATCTACTCCCTTCGATCCGAAGAGGAAGTAGAACCATATATTTTGTTTTTATTGACAGTATGTTTGGGATAATAAATATAATTTTTGTTTTCGGCTTTTAATACCTGATTTGTTTTTGCTGTATGCTTTTGATATTGTTCATACTTTTCTGACTGGTAATGTTTTTATGACAAACAAAACACATTGTCTTTATGCTTTGGATTTATGCTATCCGAGAAAAAGCAAGGATGATGGGAAGAAGGAGATCCTTTTAACAGTTTAATTGATATCTCAGGATGATTCATATGGACAATGATCTAGCTGTTAAGTGAACTCTTCTTGCATTTGACTTGCCTGCAGTAGACGTATACATACTCTTTCTTTCTCGTATGTTCCTGATATGGGGTGGATCATGATGAACTTATGATATATCCACATCCACAGGGTATTAAACACTTGGAGTCCGGAGGAAAAAGTTCTGATTCGGCCACCAGAGGTCTGAAGCGAATTGTTCCTCGGCACTGAGTGTGGAGGAATATTGCTGAATAGGACACTTAGGGTCCGAAGCTGTCTCGGACACTTAGGATCCGAGGCGAATTGTTCCTCGGCACTGAGTCGTGGAGAAATATTGCTGAATAGGACACTTAGGGTCCGAAGCTGTCTCGGACACTTAGGATCCGAGGCGTATTGTTCCTCGGCACTGAGTCGTGGAGGAATATTGCTGAATAGGACACTTAGGGTCCGAAGCTATCTCGGACACTTAGGATCCGAGGCGTATTGTTCCTCGGCACTGAGTCATGGAGGAATATTGCTGAATAGGACACTTAGGGTCCGAAGCTGTCTCGAACACTTAGGATCCGATGCGAATTAACTACTCCCCGGCGCTGAGCCTGAGGGGAGGCTTTGCCGAGCCGGACACTTAGGATCTGAGGCGAGATTTTTGCCGAGCCGGACACTTAGGGTTCGAGGTTAAATGAATTACTCCCCGCCGCTGAGCCTGAGGGGAGGTTTTGCCAAGCCGGACACTTAGGGTCCGAGGCGAATGAACTACTCCCCGGCGCTGAGCCTGAGGGGAAGTTTGTTTATATTTTCTCTCAAACAACTTATCATAAGGCCGATGATTCAAAAATGATAAGAGGCCAAGAAAGCGAGTAACAGTGGCTGTGAAGTTTCCTATTTGTTGACTTTGGAGACTTTCCTCCTCCATTGATACTCCCTTCTTGGCAACCAAATGTAGTGGACTATGCATATATTAACCGCATTTCTTTTCTATTTCTATCCGATGTGGGATATAGACTAAATTTTGTCAAAAAGGTCGGTGTAAGGAATGCCTCTGGTATTGAGCTTGACAGCCTTAAA